ACCAATCTACCCTCGGGAGAATGGGATGATCAATTTTTGAGTATGAAATCAATGTCCCTTTGTCTTTCAATTCATTGTAAAACAAATGATCTAGTCCCTCTTAGGTGATGGTCCATTTTTAGGATTCTCTTTCCTTTTAGGTTTTTTTTTTTTGGGTCATTTCTTTAAAACTTTTGTCTCTGTTCAAGCTCCTTGTTGCATCTGTTTTCCTTTGGGAGAGGAGAGACAGTATTTTGACACCATAACTGGGATTGCCCTGTCTTGAAATTTATCATCATAAATATACCATTGGATGAATTGCTGGTTAGAAAAATAACCAATGTGTTCCTGATATTCCATTTAGCATTTTAAGTGATATCTTTCTTGTTACTATCAGGGGTTTATAAAAACAATGGTTATTTGATGGTTTCCTGCAATGGTGGTCTCAATCAAATGAGGGCTGCGGTGAGTGGTTAGCAAATGACTTTAACATGTCTTTTAACATCTCAATTTATTTAGTGATCTAATATAATTTTTCTCTTCTTTTTAATCAGATTTGTGACATGGTTACTATTGCAAGATATCTAAATGTCACCCTTATAGTCCCTGAGCTGGATAAAACCTCGTTTTGGGCTGATCCCAGGTCTGTTAATTCTTTTTCCTTGTATGGTTGAGCTATTAAATGATCAATATCTATAGGTTTCAAAAGTATTATTGAAACTTTCTGTGCTATATTCCTTGAACTGGGATTATACTTTGTACTAAAACTTTGAGTATTTCCTATTGATATTTATTGCAGTGAATTTCAAGATATATTTGATGTGGATCATTTCATTACATCATTGAGAGACGAGGTTCGGATATTGAAGGAGTTGCCTCCTAGGCTTAAGCAGAGAGTGGAACTGGGAATGTTTTATAGCATGCCACCAATTAGTTGGTCTGATATATCCTACTATCATAACCAGGTCAGTTCTTAATCTCTATTAGGTCTTATAGGCACGTATACTTAATCTCTATTAGGTCCCTTTAGCATTTTACATTATTCTTTTGATTATTGTTTCATGCATTTTCAGCTGTACATTTAAAATAGTAAGTTTTGTTTGCTATTCCCTGCAGATTCTTCCTCTGATAAAGAAGTTTAAAGTTGTACATTTAAATAGAACAGATTCACGACTTGCCAACAATGTCCAACCTTTAGAGATTCAGAAGCTGCGATGTCGTGTGAATTTTAGTGCTTTGAGATTTACTTCTCAGATAGAGGAGTTGGGTAAACGAGTTATTAAGCTTCTGAGGCAAAATGGTCCTTTTATTGTCCTTCATCTTAGATATGAAATGGACATGTTAGCCTTTTCTGGTTGTACTCAAGGTTGCAACAATGAGGAGGCAGATGAATTGACCAGGATGAGGTGAGCAATACCTGCATCCTTAACAACTTTAACAACTATTTGCCTCCAGCTGGTCTTATGTTCTCACTTCCTTGTTGACTTTGACAGATATGCTTATCCATGGTGGAAAGAAAAAATAATAAATTCTGATTTGAAAAGAAAAGATGGTTGGTGCCCTTTGACCCCTGAGGAAACTGCTCTTACTTTGAGAGCATTGGACATTGATCCTAATTACCAGATATACATCGCGGCTGGTGAAATATATGCTGGGGATCGGAGAATGGCAAGTCTTGCTAAAGCTTACCCAAAACTAGTAAGTAGATAAAGACTAATGCAACTTCTTAATTTTCTCTTTTGATGGTTTGCCTGTCTCTCTGATTGGTTGGTTTTTATTATTGAAACAGGTTAGAAAGGAGACTTTGTTGGAACCATCAGACCTTAGGTTTTTCCAGAATCACTCATCACAGATGGCAGCATTAGATTATCTTGTATCGTTGGAGAGTGATATTTTTATACCAACCTATGATGGAAATATGGCGAAAGTTGTTGAAGGTCATCGCAGGTAATGTTCAGCACATAATTGGATTTCATTTGTACCTTAAGATTTTTTTTGCTTTGTGCTGACTGATTTTATCTTTTTTTTTAGCTTCAGATAAATGATTTTGGAACTGAATTATCATCCAAGTTTTTAATATCTCTATTTTATATTTCTATCACTAGGGGACAATAATTCATGCAAGTTCTGTAGAGTCTGATGAAGCTCTTTTATTGGCCGTAACTGTTAAATCTATTTTGTTCTCTCATTTTTTATATTAGACTCAAGAGTTTGATACTGTTTATCTATGGGTTAATAATCATACCAAGTGAGGAAGATTTCTGACTCTTGTTTTTAAGAGTGGTCTGTCTTGTCTAATTTGTTGTGGAATCCAAAATATTTGTCAGAAATATAACAATTGTTGTGTTCGACACTCTCTCAGGTTTCTTGGGTTCAAGCAGACAATCCTATTGGATAGAAAGCTTCTTGTTGATCTGATAGACCAATACACCAGTGGAGCTCTAAGTTGGAATGAGTTTTCATCTGCTGTGAAGGAAGCTCATGCAAATCGCAAGGGACAACCAGTGAAAAGAATGGTGATCCCTGACAGGCCTAAAGAGGAGGATTACTTCTATGCCAATCCTGAAGAGTGTTTGCAAGAACCAGAAGATCTACTGAGTAGTACATGATAATATCCCGCCAGATTATTTGGCATTTATCTGTGTCCTAGAGTGCTAGCTATCCTATCACATATAAAGAAGTAATTCTCTACAGAGGTCCAGTGAAATGAATTTGTTCCAAAGAGGCATCTGTGGGAATTACTGGGGATGCTACTCAAGGAAAAGCCTGAGAGGATCTTCAGAAGCAGCAGCACATGAAGATATTTATTGTATACAAATAATCATAATCATGTATAGAAGCCGCCCTGCCATTACAGGGTAATACCAGTTCATGTGGGTTTTATACAGGGATACAAATGTTTGGTTTACCAGGCCCCTGAGGTTCATGGAAGGTTAATTCCTTGCCCATCATTTTTTGTATTTTTTTGCCTCTTCATCACCATTGATCTTGAAACTTGAATAGCCTCTAGCCTATATCATACCCTAGAATTCATCTTGTCACACCCAACCTGGACCATCGTTTATCAGTCAGTTAATGGACAGATCTAAATCTCCCTTGATCATTAAGGTTGAGCAATTGTTCTGTCTTTTCAGTTGAGAAATTTAGGTCTTAATCATTCAGACTGTTTTGCCTATTTTGGTTGCTACATTACTGAGGTAGGTGGGTTTATTCAATCTCCTTGCCCGGTTCACTTTAACCAGTCATCTGACACAGCAACTATCCAACCAATTTAGCAATATTGGGAAGTTCGGTTATTTCCTCTTCAATCCATTCCATGGAGGATTGGGGTGGTGTCTGATAAATCATTAAGGGAAGGAAGAACCAGAATTTTGTTCACTTTTGTGGAGTGTGGAGATTCTGTGCCTTTCGTCTGTGTATAACATGCATTCCATGTGCTACCTAATCATACTGTGAATAGTCTTCTACGCTTGATAATACGGTGATAGAGCAATGTTGGTTTATGTAAGCATTCGTGCTTGACTGGTGTTTCTTCTCTGACTAGTTGGCACGAAGTTGTGGATGTGATTTGCGATTGTCGGCCGTTGAGAGAGAGCTTCAGGGGATTCTAAAACTTCAACTTTACCAACAAATCGAAAATTTATCGACCAATTCTGCACTGCATTTTGTACGATTTCTCGGCACAGGTTTTGAAAGTGGAAAAGAAGAAAGTTGACGGATATGAGCGCCGACAGCCCCACAAGTTGATACCCTGTCACTCTGTTAAGGGTGTGAGGACAACATCAGTATTCCGAGAAAGGATAAAGTATAAATTTTATAAAGCAACCAATTGATACTGCCTTTATCAAACCTCCACTAAAAACAGTTTCAGTCAGTAAGAATTTAATACTTTTAAGAGATGATTCAATCTTTGAAACAGGTGAAAGAGGAATGTTATTATTATGGGTTTTTTTTATAATTTATTTAATATGATAAAAATGTAATTATTATTGTTTACACCCATTTTTGCAAAATAGTATAATGATGCCACGTGTCATCCATGTTGGCAGATATTTCATTAGTTGAAATTTGTTGGAGTAAATCTCTGGATAAGGTTGAGTGGTTATTTCTACAACTGCAGTAAGGTTGTTGGTTTGTTGCGAACTTCAAGGAGAATAATTGGCAGAATCAACAGAATAATCAATTTGTTTCAGATTTCATGCTACCGTTGATTGTCAAGTTGCTGCCACAGATTTCCAAGCATGCTGCCAAGGGTGTTTACTGCTATAAAGATGCAAAGAAGAAACGAAGCGA